CCCCCACACTCAATCTCACTTGTGGCTTTGCAGTTTTACATTATTTCCCCACTGCCCTCCCAATACATGTGTGACAGTGTCCCTGCTGCCTGTCACTATAGCCCCCCTTCAATCTCACATGTGGCTTTGCACTTTTACACTACTCCCAATCCATGTGTGACAGTGTCCCTGCTGCCTGTCACTATACCCCCCCTTCGATCTCACTTGTGGCTTTGCAGTTCCCCATTACTGCCCCACCACCCTCCCCATCCTGCTGCCTGTCACTACTCATCCTTTCCCTCTTCTGTTGGTCTGCGTCTTTCTGAATTTTTTCATCATAGTCTTGGCCTATCCTGTATTGTGAGATGTGAATGTCACTGTTATTTGCTAGTATATTGCATCCATAACATCCAGAAACCATTCAATGTTTCAGCCAGTAGATGGCATCTTCTTGTCTCCACACACAATCCTCGCTAGTTAGTTCTATTGAACCATTTTATTAACGCTTTATGATAAATATCTTAGGACTGTCTGCTTCTAGATCACTTCTGTCTAGCTCACCCCTAACATAGAGAGTGATGACAGAGTCCCTTTAAATCTCCTGTTTAAACAGAGGAAGTGTTTTAGGACTACAGAACCCCCTACCCAAGATGCACAATAGTTCTGAAGTTTATCTTCCTTTCTTTCTCATTTAGTCCCCCCCACAAAGTGACCTGTTGATCCTGCCAGCAAAGTCCAGAGCCTGCAGCCTTTAATGGGGTGACAATGCTTTCCCACCACTATTAAATTTAAGGCAGTGTTGTCACCCATACGTCAGATGTACCTGCTAGGACTACACCAGACTGTAACATGGGGTGTGACGTTCAGCATAGCCACTGCTAATAGACAAACTTGTAGCCTGGAAATCAGTGGCCATCAACACCAAACCCCGCCCCCTTTTTTTTAATGGCGGTGGCCCTGAACTGTAACTACCGCAGATATCCCCCTGTGATCAGTGTGCAACTTAAGCAGTTATGGTAGTTGTGGTCTATTCAGCAGCCTGTACATAGCACAGAAATGACATGACTACACTGCATGGACCCTCCCATTGGTAGCTGCATTCCCTGGCAGTATCAGCATTGGAGGCAATATTGGGGACCATTTCTAAGAAGCTGTGTAGCTAGTTACTGGTATTTTTTAAATACTGGCTTTTGCCTTGATAAATTAACATGGTTTGGGTCATATTTTACACGTTTTCTAGGTAGATTATATATGTACTTTGATCACCAAAACATTTGTACGCAGCTTGATTAGTCATTTCTGTGTATGTATATTTCCAGTCAATGCACTGGGCTGTAAAGAACAAGAAGGAAGCGATGCTGGAGGCCCCAAACAAGCCCTCAGATGAAGTACAAGATGACATCTTAATTGATGCGGAAGAAAAGAAAAACCCGGTCAGCGATGAAAATGAGGATTATGTCATCGAGAAACCTCAAGAAAATATTGATTCAATCTCGCCTAAAAGTCCAGAAGGTAACCCCAGGATTGGTGATCTGTTGTGATCAAGTTCTTAAACATTAAGTGAATCTTTTTTTTTTTTTTGCTTTTTCTTTTCTCTTTTAAATAATTTTCCTCAGAGCAGGGAGATCATGTTATTTTCCTCCCATTTATTAAAGCTAAAGTCTAGGCACACCTAAAACACAACAATAAGTATTCAATAATACTTTATTAAATTCATTTATCAAATGCAGGCAGTGTAAAGATCTGATTGTGCCTTTGTAGAAGCCTCTTGCAGTCCCTGTACAGCAGAGGTGGACAAGGGACAAGCAGGGACAGATTTACTCTCTCCGATGCCCCAAGGCCAGGTTCCTCAGTGCTCCCCCCTCTTCCCCTAAATGGAGAATGGCAACCAGATGGCAGGGTTGGTTTTAATCTTTTTAAAAAATTTTTTATAACTTTTGTTTTGATTACTTTTTTTTTCTTTTATCATTTTTTAAAACTTTTTTTTATCCCTAAACAAGTGCCGGCTTTCCCGCTCTACATTTAGCCCTGGTTTCCCAAAGCAAGGCTAAATGTAGAAGAAAAAAAAAACAACTACCTGCCCTGCGGCTTTGTTGCCCCTCTTCTCCCCGCAACTCTGAGGCCAAGCCTCGGTGGCCTTGTGGGAAATCTGGCCCTGGGGACAAGCAGCACAAGGAGAAAATCCAGTGAATGTTTAAGTGCCTACAACGGACATGCAGACAATAGGAGAGAGATGAGCTCTTCATTCTGCTGCTTTTCCTTTCACTATCCATTCAGAAGCTGGGGGAGGGACAAGACCTTTATTACCTTACTGCAGCAGAGAAAAATCAAGTCTCCTTTAATTTAACTAATTCTTCAGGCTTAGTGGGTGGAACTGCAGAAGGTTGAAGACCCATTCACACATATGGTGGTGACCTGCATTTTTTCCACCAGATCAATGCAGGTCACTGCTCGGACACATAGAAAACCATTGTTTTCTATGTCCCCCAGTCACACCACAACACTGGTGTGATGTGTGTAGTGGTGCAGAAAAATGCATACATGCTGCATTCTTCTGTAGTGCACTGGATGGCAATGGAGGCTATTGCACCAAAGCACACTACACTGCTGGGCCAAAACATTGAATAGAGTGTACAATTTATACACTGCCAATAAAGTTGTAAAAAAAAGCTGGTGTGAACGAGCCCTTAGAGAAGATGTCACTTAACACTGGCTTGCACTTCTGTGAGAACTAATGTAATTCATAAGATAGATACTGACAAGCTATAGATTAAGCTGATCAAGTCAAAATGAAAGTCATAGCCCTTTAGTTGGCGACATGTCCCCCTAAGTGAATTTAAGGTGGAACTTCAACCAAAATAATTTTTAGGCAAGGCGGGGAAAGGTTATCACCTCGGTTTTTTCTTTCTGCTAAAAGTTTCTGGGAGAGATAAAGTGAAATCCATATTTAATCTCTGGCACTGCTGAAGGTCATACCGTAGATCTCCTGTTACTAAACAAGCACTCAACTCTGTTAGGCGGTTTGTATTGATGTTTGTGTGCCTGTTGTGGAGATTTACCCTCACTTCCTGTGAGGCCATTGGGAGAGGAATGAGTAGAATCCCTGACAGGGACACATACAGCAATAAAGGCAGTAGTAGAACCTATCAGGTTGTATTGCTTGTGAATACTCATTAGGGAACTTTCTCTTAGAAAAATCTCACAAAAGGAGTTCCTGAACCTTCAAACTATCTAGAACTGAATTAGCCACCATTCCAAATTCAGTAGATAATATTTATGTCTGATGGGATATGCCTATAATCATATTGGTAAAAGTCTACAGTGACAGGTTCATAAAAGTAGTTTTATTTTCTCTGAAAATATGTCTTCATTAATATAACTGTAAAGGATCCCATTTATCCAGGTCATGGTATAGCTAGTAGTTTCAAAGCCACTAGTAAACTGTGACCCCCCAATTTGCCCAATTACTTTACGAATGTAACTCATCTGACCACAGCTGAACCAAAAGGCTCCCATTGGCCACACAACCAAAACACTCTCATTGGTCACACAACCAAAACTCCTCTGTTGGTTAAATAACCAAAACACTCCCATTTCCCCCCAAGAAGCCATAATATGTAGAATTTCTCAACAAAATGGAAGGCATGGGTATTGGTTACCTTAATGTGGCATACATCCATCTGATTTATATTTCATGCCCACAAAGCAGCATTAATGTGCTTTTTCCAGTTTTGAACCATTACCAATATTTATTTCTTGTCTAAATGTAGAAAGTCTGGACATGACACACTGTCTCCTGCGCTTCCGCTGGTCCGCTGAGGCTCCGTCTGACCTTCTTCGGAAATTCAGAAATTATGAAATTTAAGATCCTTTCCCTTAGGTGTTCCAGTATGTTTTTTTTTCTTACTGTGTATAGTGTATAGTGTATAATGTAAGCCTTATTTTTCTATATATACTCCATATTATGCATTATTTTATTGCAGTCATAACTTTCTCTATACGCATAGTAATGTCACTTTAACAGAGTAAAAGGTCATTTGCTATGTTATACAGTCTTTGTCATTCCAGTATTTAATGAAATGTTGCATGTTAGTAAGTAAATGTTACTGTCATTATTTTTGTATTGTTTTAATTACATTGTGAATAAATTATATGCAGGTTACCTACAGCTGTGGCCATTTTATTTTACTTATGTACCCAGCAACGTTATAGAATCTTGAATGATGCAACATAGTTAAAAGATACTTCAGTTAACATTTCCCTGTAACATTTTTCTGTTTATCAAAATGTATGTATGGTGAAAAACTAAAAGGATATATATTTCTATATTGTATTTCCATAAGTTCTATACCACTCCTAATAAAGATATTGACCTAGAAGTTTGTAAACATACTTATTGAATATGCCAATTCAATGTGCTTCCTCAATGCCCTGACATAATTTCACTCAGCACTTCCTTGTGTCAACACTCTAAGCCTGCCATTTGAACTTCAACTCAACGTCTGAACAATGTAACTTTATCATTGCTTGGTGGAAGCAATGCATGATGGGGCATGTAGCCTTGAGAAATGGAGATTGCATCACATCAAGCAGCAGGGAAAGAGATGCAAAGTACACTGGGAATTCAGGAAGTTGTTGAAAGTGATGGGCAGACAGAAGGCAGCACTCACTACATTCCGGTAAGCTTTGATTGCATTATCAAAAACAACACTAATATGCATTTCTATTATATTTGCCAAAGTTTTGCAGTCTGTTAAAAGCATGATGGTTAGTGGACATATCTGTGGATTTACCTTGCTTAGTACACAGTTTCTTCCCCCACTTTATCTGATTGTGAGATTTAATTTCCTTAGAGAACCTGTTTCAACGTTGAAGCAAAACGGCATTACTCATAAAATAACGGTAGAGGAAGAAAAAGATCTATATCGTCTCATGATACAATCTTTTATTTTGCTGCTATGACAGACTGATGCTGCCTTTCCATTTTGCAGATCTGGTCCATGCTCCGACAATTCTAGTGCTATCACTGCAAAACAGGAAAAACATTTATCATTTAGGTTTAGTGACTCTACAGGTCAGACAAAGTGGGGACAGCTATTTTGTGCCCAGGGTCAACATTCCTGATAAAATACTCTGAATTCACAAATGACATTTTTGTTTTTGCTTCAAAGAGTGAGCTGTCCCAGGATTATAGATACATTGGTAATCCTATACTAGAATTGAAACGAGATCTCCAGCAAAAATGAAAATTCCTAATTCAGATCCATGCGTGTAGCAACACCTTGCATTATCAGACGGTGATTCCAACCATAGTAAAATGGTAGCACAAAACCCTGTTAAAATCTGAAAGCTTCCAGAGTGGACAAAGCCTTCCTGGTTACAACACAGAAAGGTCTTATCAAAAGAGGGCAATATCAGCATTCTTGAAATCCCGCTTTCAAGGGTTTTCCTTTTTGCAGTAAAAAGGTGTCTGTGGGTGACGAACACACCAAAAGAATATGAGTGTAGATGTTTGTGTGTCACAATGTCCTACTGATACTTCAAATTTATGCTTAGCTTCACTGCTGTCAAGCAGCAGGAATCCTTTTCTTAGAGAAATGTTTGAAAGTGGAAATACACCTGTCAAGGGAAACACAATTCAAACCTGCTGCAGGTACAAAGCACATGCAGGTACATGTATCTGCACAAAGCACATGCAGATACGGTACCTGCCGCAGGTACAAAGCTATGTGCAGGTACGTATCCTACGTACCTGCACATAGCTACAGCAGCCTCCCAAACATGCTGTCATGGCTGAATGCTTTCGGTATTTCATAGCTTGTGGCTAGCCTCCACCACATTCCTATTGGCCTTACTGGCCAACACATATGTGCAGGAGGAGTTAGGAAGGGTTGGGCATCAAGAAATACTGAAACTTTGCCTGTCAGAACTGCCTGGCATTTGACCATGAGGGGAAGGTTTAGGAGGCTGCTGCAGGTATATGAAGGCAATTATAAGTGCCTGCATTGAATACCTGCAGCAGTTTTTGCTCTCTCTGTTTAAGATTGAGAAAAAAAAGGTTTCTACAAATTTTTTTTTATAAAATACACAACATAGAATTAGCCACTGTAGATACCCACTATCATGACGTGCTGGCTCCAGGACTTGTGAATCTCTAGGAAGGAAGGCAAGGACAGGAATACAACTCACCTTTTGCATGAGAGCTGGCTAGCCAAGGTTCAAGATTAGTCTCTAACTCCCACCAAAATGTGCAGACAACAAAAACAAATGCTCTAGAAATGCTACTCCAAACATTCCCCATCCACAAACTATGTGCATGACATCTAGGCTAAGGGTAGAAGCTGCAGTAGCAACCAAGGACTGAATTAAAGGTAGCTGCTGTAAGTCATATAGTGTTCAGGGACTAGAAAACCATAGAAAACAAAGGTGGTGCAAAGCTGCAGGGAAAGTGGAATGAGGGCACATGCAGTGGGACAAGGTGCTTACACTAGTGGTGGAGCTTCAGAAACAGATGGCAAGGTTACTCTGATCAACAAAGCTCTGGATCTGTTGGTCTGGGGTGATGACACGCAGAAAGCCATAGAAGAAAGACTTAGAAGAAAGACACATAGGAAAATGAGAGATGAAGAGTGCTGAATCATATACAATGCTAAAAGAAGTCTGGCATCTTATTCTGCCAAATAACTTTTGAAGGAGGTGTTTTCGAACCCCAAAATGTGTTGGCAGTTGTTACACTTCAAATAAAGGAGCCCAGCTAGGAGCTTTATGAACTTTCCAATTGTTGTTTTTCTTCCTCCACCATAATATAATCCAACATGTTTCTACTGACTTGTACCTCTGGTTAAACACCTTCTTATAGATAAAATTACAGTCCTTTACTTACGATAAAAGGGCAACTAGACTTTATGATGAGTGCAAGCAACAGTAGAGAAGGTCAATGGTCTCAGTTCTGACAATGAAGGATTTTTCAGTATTCAGGAAAATAGAAAACAAAAAGGAAAACAATAAAAGAATGTGGACCAATGGGCCTACTCTTTCAACCTCCTAGAAATACGACACTAAGAAGCCAGTGACGGAGAAGAGAAGGTGCAATCTCCTTATTGGCATGATTCAATCCAAATTTCTCCTTTGTATACCAGTGAATGACTAAACAAATGTATAAAATGCACACCACAGAATTACCAACGCATAATGTAAAAACTTTGTTTATTTTTCACAGAATAGTTTACAAGGCTTGTATAGCATAAAAATAGGATCTTGACTTACCAGTAAAATACGTTTCTTGAGGCACAGTACAGGACACAGGCAGATTCAGAGACGACTGGGTAATATGCAGGTATTATCAGCTTATTGGACACTGATCAGAGCTGTGAGGATCCTCATGTAACTCTGCCCTCTCCAGGAAATCCTCAGTGTTTTTGCAAGCAATAGAGGACAGAGGGCCGTGTCCTATACACAGTTGCCGAGTCCTATGCTGTACTCCAAGAAATTAATTTTACCGGCAAGTGAAAAATACTATTTTCTTGAACATACAGTACACGACACAGGTAGATTTAGAGACGACTGGAACATCCACAAGCAATGCACTGAGGGGTAAGCAACACAACTGCCAACAGGCCCATAACACAAATACAGCGGGGAAACCCAAACTCAAATAGCAACCTGTAGCCAAAACGTGCATCAGGAGAGGCATGAGCATCCACCTAGTAGAACGTGTAAACAGCAGACAAGGTGCTGATCTTACAAATCTCCAGCGCAGAAACCTAATGCCTAAAAGCCTGAGATGCACTGACAGGCATAGTAGAGTGAGCTTTTACAGGGAACTGTGGAGTCTTACCCTTTACAGAGCAATGTCTAACCCACCAGAAATTGTTAAAAGAGATGCAGGGAGCTCCCTGCGTGATCCTTCAGGAAGAACAAAGAGAAAATTCAATGGTCATAAGGAAGTTGTAGATAAACTCAGATAGCCCTAACCACATCCAAACAGTGGAAAGCCACACAACCTTGGGATGTTTTGGACCCACACATTAAAAGGAAGGCAAAACAATGTCTACATTGAGATGGAAAGAGGACATCACCTTAGGCAAAATGGAATAATTTGTTCTGAGCACAACATTATCCCTGTGCAGAACAAGAAACAAAGCTTTGCATGAAAGTGCAGCCATTTCCAAAACCCTCCTAGCTGAGGTGATAGCGACAAGGAATACAACCTTGTGCGTCAGATCCAGTAACGAGATATCTTAAGTAAGTTCAAAAGGAGCCAACTGCAGACAGGAAAAAACCTCACTGGAGGTCCCATGGTGACACTGGGGGTGTCTAGGAAAAGCCTCAAAGCCTTTACCATGGAATGTGAGGTCCACTGGGAAAGGAAGGCTAATGTCAATATCTGTCCCTTGAGCTTACTCATGGCCCACTGATGTTTGGAGAAAGGCTAGCAGTCATCCCACAGAATAAGCATGAAGATGAAATAGTCACTTTATCTCTTAGGCTAGGTTCACACCTAGGCGTATTGAATATGCACGTTTGTCTCGGTTTTTTTACCGCGATACGCGGTAAAAAAAAACACGCGAAAAACACGCGTTTCCGAGGGCTATTTGGCTGTAGCCCAATGGAAACGCCCGACCAAAACGCCCCAACATGTACTTCTTTGGGCGTAGGGCGGTTTCCCACGCGTTCGTACTCACGGAAAACCGCCCAGATGGGAACCATGCACATTGAAAATAATGGCATTTCCCTGTTTGAGCATTTTTCCGCGAGTACGAAAGCGCGGAAAAACGCCCAGGTGTGAACCCAGCCGTAGGACCTTGGCTTCATCAGCCAGGCTGACTAAGCTAGTGATCGAGAAGCAGGATAAAACACTGGATCCTTGAAAAGGAGAGTCCTTCAGTCTGGAAGCGGCCATGGAGAGTCTGGCAGCATCCCGAAGATCTGGGCTTTCACTGGAATGCCCTCCACCTCAATTCTGCGGAGGAGAGGAGGATGCATCTATAACGAAGGGAAGGCATAGATCAGGGAGGACTGATCTTATGGAGCTGGCAGCGCATCTTCTGCAAAAGCTTTAAGATCTCTGGACCGGGATACCAACATGTCCAGTTTTATTGTTCAGTCTGGAGGCCAAGAGATCGGAATCTGGCATCCTCCAACAGCAGCAGATTTCCTGAAAGATCTTTGGGTGTAGAAACCATTCCCTCGAGTCCAACTTCTGTCTGCTTATGAAGTCCACCTGATATTTGTCCACTCCCATGTACACTGCAGACAGAGCTAGAATGTGAAGTTCTGCCCAAGACAAGCTCAGATCTGCTTCCTTTTGCTCAGCGCAGCTTCTTGAAGGTTGATATAAGCCACAGGCATGGCATTGTAATGCTGAACACTGACCAGTAGCCCCTGAATGAGACTTGTCCAATGCAGAAGTGAAAGGTGCATTGCACGCAATTCCAGAATGTTGATGGACTGTCTGGATACGCTCGTCGACCGGGACTCTTGAAATGTTGATGTCCTGAGAACACCTCCCCAGGCTAACAGACTGGAGTACATCATCAGAACCATCCACAGAAGTGGAAGGAAGCATTTTCTGGATTCCAGTGCCAGATCAGAGGAAATCCACTATGCAAGCAAGATTCTTGCTTCAGGGAACAGATGCATTGGGGTGGTCTAGAGAAGGAAACTGCTTTTCCCATGCTGCCAGAACATTCAGTTGTAGTGGTCCGGAATGGAACTGAGGATATGGTACTAGCTTGAAGGAGGCTACAATCAAACCCAAGACCCTCAAGGCGAATCTCACGGAGGGTCAATCCTTGGACCGAAGGGTCCAGGGTCTATTTGAAGCAAGCCTTCAGAAGAAGGTCCTCCAGGTAAACCACAACGTGAACACCCTAAGAATGTAGGAGGGCAAGGATCAGAGCTAACCCTTGGTAAAAAACCTTGGAAACTGTGGACAGGCTGAAAGGGCATGAAATGGGAAAAGATCTTTGAAGGCAAGAGATTGCCTCATCTACCTCTAGAATTGCCTACTCCTCTAAGGGGTATTGCTGCCCAAACCTGTTCAGTTCCGGCCACTGTCAGAATGTCCAAACAATGATTGCAGCCAATTGGTTGCAAGCATTGTCCAGCTAATGATTTTCTAGCATGTCCCTTTGGCAAAAGTCCATCTAATGATGGACTTCTGTCAAGGGCTCAGGACAACATACAGATTGAATGTCGGCTGATCCCTGTTGAATAAGTTAAAATTCGTGCCATATGTACCCAAGGTTTAGTAAGTTCCCCTTGCCTTTTATCAGCTGTGGCGCTAGCTACCCCAGTACCCCTAGTTCCCTTGCATTTTTTTATCTGCCATAGTGAGGTGCCCTGCATGGGTACTCCCAGACGAGAGCCAAGAGTTAAACGAAGGTCACCTTTGTGGTCACAGTGTTCTCTGCACCAAGAAACGCACTTTGCTCATGGATGGAAGTGTATTCCAAAAGCAGGCCTTCCAACTTCTGGCATGTGTCTGAGCACATGTGTCCCTTCCCAAGATGGCCACTAATGTCTAATCATCTGATATCTACATTTTACCCAGTCTTCTCTGAATCTGCCTGTGTCCTATACTGTACAATCAAAAAATTAAAGTTTGAAATAACTAACTGGTGAGAAAACTGAAGCCTAATTTATGGAGGGAACAAAGTGTCACAAATGGTTATATACAATGAGTAGTTGCTGTATTTCACTAACACAGCCTGTACATGTTTCCTGGTTTGTTAGTAGCAAAAACAGCCATCAGAAAACCATATACATAGAATATTAAATATCATTTTGGCTGGCTCAGTTATTAAGAGACTGCAAATAAACAGTGGAGAAAAAGCCTTAATATGGGTTCTTCACACAAGGCTGAAGCCTTCATAATGGTCAATGGCTTGAATCAGCTTGGCACTCAGTGTCTCTTTGCTGGTGAATTTGGGAAGGTCCAACAGATTAAAGCAGGTGTGAGCGACAGGTAGGAAATCTTCCCCTCCTCCTGTTGGCTGAATAATAAGTTTTAAACTTTTCATGCCAAGAATTGGGATACGGTCACTTCCAGTCAAAAACACTGCAAATAGAAAACAAAAAAAGCCTTGCAATGTAACAAACTTTGTATAATAGTATGATAACGCCAATGCATCATCTAAAAGTATAATTATGTCACAGAATACAAGTGCATTTTTATTTTATAAAGTATAGTATAAAGTGTGGACTGCACAAAATGTTTTCTCTGCATGAGTCTTCCTCCTCAACCACTTCATGGTGCTGCCTTAACTTAACTGTAGAAGGCCCACTGACCAGGCTCACTGCACTCTGAATAGCCTACTGGCATGGAAGGCAGAGAGTCAGGGTGCCACTTTGAACATGTCCAGTTTCTGATGTCCTGCTCAAGGATGTACACCGTACAATTAAGAGAAAGAAAAGATGGTTATTCTCTTCTCCTCCAATGATGGTTTAATATAAGCAGCACAAATGTTGGTTTCCAGTCAGTAGTGTTACGGCTACCCTCCTTGAACAGTGTACATATCAGACATGAAGCATATCAGCATTAAATGTAATGTCATCATATAGGCCAGAGGCAGATTAATGCTTCTTTCTTACATGTCAGGTACCGGGGGTTTAAGGTGGACTGATGTGCACCAAGCTGCAAAACACGCACACAGACAAAAGAGTCCAAAGTCATGCAACACAATTTGAATGCTTCTTCTAGGCCAGGGATGGCCAAACTCCAGCCCTCCAGCTGTGGTGAAATGACAAATCCCATGAAGCATCTCTCTCTGGGAGTCATGTCTGCGGCTGTGAGAATCTTGCAAAGCCTCATGGGATTTGTAGTTCCACCACAGCTGGAGGGCCGCAGTTTGGCCATCCCTGTTCTAGGCAGAAAACACGGCATAGATAATCTTAACATTACTACAGACACTGAACTTAGAACAGCTAATTAGAAGGGCTGGAAAAGTGCCAGATGTCTATTGTGCATTGATTGGAAATATAAAAACTTATTGTATAGAAACTATCCCTGACTGTAAATACATATTTTTCCATAATCTGATATGTGGAAATAAGACAATGAAACTGACTGGCTGCTATCAACAGCTAAAATTTTCATAATTCCAGCTGTAATAAATCTGACTGTAGAATATTGTGTAGGCCCCACAGACAGGTTATCTGGCTCATCTTTATATCAGCAGACACAAATGTACAGTGTGAACAAAGGTGCACCTTGTAATGCTATAAAGGTACAGATCTATAATGGCCATATGTAAGTGGCATCCGGCCACCCACAGAAACTGGTCACATAAGAAATATATCAAATGTAAAAAAAATACTGAAGAATGGCATAATAAAGTGTAAACGATACTCACATAAGAACTGCTTTTTCTTTTCCAGGGATAATTCATGGAAAACTTCCCAGAAGATTTTAATGGTCGGGTGATCTGCCCAATACTCGCCCTTATATTCCGTATTCTAAATAAAACAAAATTTGAATGATTTAGGAAATCATTGTGCAATATTTCTTCCATTTAAATTGGAACACCAGAAAAGCCAAAGCTCTTTTTGAGCTTCTTACTGGTTATCCTTTAAAAAAAAATTACACTTTCTTCCCACAAAGCCATTAGGTCTCTCTGTCTGTCTATCGTTTGCATCCATATAATTGTTGAATGGAAGTTGTTTTACACATACAGTGTAGTTAGAAGGGGGTCTTAACCATTTTAAAATGCATGTAAACCCTAAAAAGGTAAATGTCACCATCATCCATTATTGTGTACATTTTTGTTATTGATTTTTTTGCTGTTCAATATCTGTATCAGCACTATTCAATGTACTGTTTATTGCTGACAACATTAAGATTCTCATTTGCAATTACCAGCTGTGCGTACTCTTTTAGTTGGACTACAGGATTCTGTGCGTACTCCTTCAGCGGGACTACTGGATGCTGTGTGCGCTCCTTCAGTTGGATTACAGGCCACAGTAATGGACACACAGCATCCCTGTATTTGCAGCGCTGTCAGCCTGGCACAAAGCCTTGCTCATGCCTCCCGCGCTACCCCTCTTGATCAGACATATATATGCAAGGCTACATAGGACATGTATTTTTCCAGATAATCAATATTATATACCACCCTAAGGGGCCGTGCACCCGCCAAACCATCCAGTGAGCAAAGTCAGAAACATGCACAGCTCGAATTTTGCATGTTAAAATAAAAATTAGTTTTTACAGTATTTAGGAAAAAAAAACAAAAAACAAAACAGTGATCCTTAGATTTATAAACTGGAGCAGACAGAATGTGGAGCAGTTGCCCATGGCAACCAATCAGCATCTCTTTTGAGTTTGCTCAGGTAAGATTTGAAAATGAAAGAGAGAAGCTGATTGGCTGCAGTGCAAATCTGCTCCAGTTTTGATAAATTCCCCCCATTGTATAAAAGCAATATTTTGGGGGTTGACTCATACTTTAAGCTGGGCTCTACTCTCCAGGAAAAGGTGTGTTAAAGACATGGTTAATTTGTATATATCCTATCGGAGATTTGGGGAAAAAAAAGATGGTATGTTAATTACGAATTCCCATTATATGAATTTGCTGTGCAGCTAGAAGTAACACAATAAAGATGTGATGAATCTTTTGTTCCTTCATCTTTACTCTTTCTTCTGACCCTACATTAAAGTAGACCTTTACCCCCTTTCACTAAAAATCACATCAGCATTCAGCTCTGCATGCTGATGTGAAATCACCTTATATTCATCAGTTAAACATTTTGCTTTTACTTACAATTACAGTACTTCCACTTAATGCTCCTCTTAGGCATTAGTGATGTAGCCCACACCTAAGAGATGCATCCTGGGAAGGTTACATCATTGAGCATTACTGGGAAATCTCATCTGTAAACTGCAAAATCTTGCAAGATCTCAGGGAAAGACATTTCCTCCCTTGAAATGATGTGCTCGGTCACATGTCCTAGTCACATGTGCCAAAGTTCCAGGAAGTAAAGGGAGATGGTTTTACCTGCCCTTAGTAAAAATGGCCAATGTGAGAAGAATGGGGAGGAACAGAAAACATAAGGTATGCAAAGAAGGAGCAGCATACAATTGTCTTCAAGTATGTGTTTGTAGACTGTCATTACTAAACATTTCTAAAGGGGTCTTTGTTGCCATGTTAGAGCTATGGGTAAAGTTCCTCTGTATCCCTTTAAGCTTTTTTTTTTATTTATTTTTTGCTGACGGGGGTATTTATGATTTCTTTTTACATATATTTGTATTGTACTGCATGCATAGGGGACTACCCAATTTACTACCCTGCTCTCCAAAAACGAAGGTCAAAGACCTACAGGATAAGTAAATTCAAAACTGTATTGGATTGCAGAAGCAAGCACACAGTGGGGTCAGTTCTAAGATCTTTACTTATTTCTACCAATTGCTGTAAATGCTGATGGTTTCCTGACCTTCTCAAGCGTCTTCCAGTCGTAGTTTGTGTTGCCAATGACCATGGCCTGCAGTTCATTAGGCTGAAAGAGCTCCAGAACACTGCCTCCACACACTTTATGGAAACCTGAGTAAAATGCCTCGAATAAGGAAGCCACAGAGCGGTTGAAGACGTAGTCCACGTAGGCATCAACAAATTCTTGCCTGTGAATTGAAAAAGAACAAGTAAACACACTCTTCATACTGCAAATCCTGTACAATGCAAACAAAGGACTTTCACTATACACATTTTCTGTCTCCTAAAATCCCAACGTATATTTGTATCTCTTTTTAAGAACTATAGGCTCAATCCAGACTTTTTACTTGTTCATAAACTCCTCCCTTCTGCGGTCTTTATCTCTACTTCTCCCGAAAGACATACTGCAGGATGGATGTGCTAGTGTTCGTGGACCTGTGACCTGACATGAATAAACTTTGATAGGATGTGCTCTGAGCGTCTGCATAGGTTTTCATGAACGTGCAGCACCTACAAGCTGCTGTCACTCAATGGCAGTGGAGGATCCAGACAATATTGTCCCGGGCTGGCCCAAAGTATATTACACTAAATTGTAAGCTTATGGTGCATTTCTGATTACAGGAATATATTGCAAAATGAACTCCTGTATCATAAGGAAGCAAAAAATGCAAAAAAAGGTGCACCCCATAGTTCTTCTATAACCTTGTGGTAAAGCTTTCTTAATTAAGCCTACATAAAAGAAAATGAATAAATAGCCCATTATCAGATAGAATTACTAAAAAAAGTAAAAGAAAAAGAAAACAAATTGATGTCAAAAGAAGCAATATCAAACTGTTATATTATTTTAGCTGCAGCTATAATAAAAGTTTACTCCACGATCAGCTAATCCTTTTTCTTTCCAAGCTGTCCACTAGCTGCCATTTCTCAAGGCCAAAGAGTGTCATCAAGCTGTCACTTACATTTTCCATTAAAATGGAGAATTCAAATTACTATAGTGCTCGGCTTGCAGCTAAATGCAAAAACAGGTTTCCTTTTCTGTGCAATCTGACTAAACCAAATCAGCCATAACATTATGACCATATAATTATGAAATTAATAACATTAATTATGGAAGTGGGTGGCATATAACAGGCAGCAAGTAAACATTTTGTCCATGCAGTTAATGTGTTGAAAGCAGAAAAAAATGGGCACGTGTAAGGATTTGAGTAACTTTCACAAGGGCCAAATTGTTATGTCTAGACGACTGGTCAGAGCAACTCCAAAACTGCAGCTCTTGTGGGATGTTCCTGGTCTGCAGTGGTCAGGACTTGCCATAAGTGGCCTAAGGAAGAAAAACCAGTGAACCGGTAAGATGGTCAAGTGCCAAAGTTCATTGATACACATGGGGAGTGAAGGCTGGCCTGTGTAGTCCGATCCAATAGAGCTTCTGTAGCTCAGATTTCTGAAAAAGTTAATGCTGGTTCCAATAGAAAGGTGGCAGAACACACATTGCATCGCAGTTTGTTGCGTATGGGGTTTTGTACCCGCAGACCGGTCAGGTGCCCATGCTGACCCGTGTCCACTGCCAAAGGCGCTTACAATGGGTACGTGAGCAACAGAACTGGACCGCGGAGCAATGGAAAAAGGTGGTCGGTTTTGAGGAATCATGTTTTCTTTTACATCATGTGGATGGCCAGGTGCGAGTGTGTCGCTTACCTGGGAAAAAGATGGCACCAGGATGCACTATGGGAAGAAGGAAAGCCAACAACAGCCGTGTGATGCTTTGGGCAATGTTCTGCTGTGAAACCTTGGGTCTTGCCATTTATGCAGATGCTACTTTGACATGTACCACCTACCTAAAACACTTTTGCTGACCAAGTACACCCCTTCATGGAAACAGTACTCCCTGATGGTAGTGGCCTCTTTCAGTAGGATTATGCATGCTGCCACACTCCAAAATTGTTCAAGAATGGTTTGAGATCACAACAGATTTTGAGGTGTTGACTTGGCCTCCAAGTTCTCCAGATCTCAATTCAATCAAGCATCTGTGGGGTATGCTGGAAGAACAAGTTCGATCCATGGAGGCCCCACCTTGCAACTTACAGGACTTAAAGAATGTGATACTGACGGCTTGGTGCCAGATACCACAGCATACCTTCAGAGGTCTAGTGGAGTGCATGACTCGATGGGTCAGGGCTGCTTTGGCGGTAAAAGGGGCACCTACTCAATATTAGGCAGGTGGTCATAATGTTATGACTGATCAGTGTATCTTCCTTAGTGCTCCATAGATGTGTATTTTAGTGCCCTAAAGAATACCCGAAACTCACTATAAAACCCATAAATGACACAAATCACCTTGCAAAACACCAAAGCCCAGTGCTTTCAATTATACAAGATCAAAAGTGCTCTTTCTCTTGCCACCTTGGCCTTCTGCTAGCTACTAAATGTAATGGGTGGCTTTAATGACCAAGTGAGGCGAGAGAGGCAGGGGCAAAATATTACATTCCAATATATATCGTTTCAATTTCCTGTTTGAAATCAATTTCTTTCAATGCTATTACAAAATATAAAAGAATTAAAAAATCTGGGGTGTATTATTGATGGAAGCACTTATGTAAAAAATTGTATGATTTTGGACCAGAAAATTCCATGCAGAGAGTAGCAAAGCACCACTAAAATATATTACACAGGATTTAAAATATATAAATTTTTTAGGGTTATCCATTGCAGACACAAATATTTTAAGTACAGTATCATACTAATTTCATCACCTTCTAGAGAACATTTTGTTTCTGGTACTAAAATCTCCACTATCATAAGTGTTAACTAGGATTAATAAAGTGACCAATCATGGCGATGGATGACCTCAACCAATAGTACAGAAAGCGGAAGGGGGCCAGCCACAGCTGCTGATCATAGAATTATACCCAGGGCACTAGAAGAAAAGAACCTAAATGTTCCAAGAGCCAGCTGTTCAATGTGAACGATTTTCATTTAAGTATCCACAGGTTTATTTTACACTAAGAATCTTATCCACGGGTCAGTATGGGGATTAAAAAATAAAAGAGAGTAATTATCTATGGGTAAGCTTTAAAAAGATAGGCTTCACAGAGAGGAATTCACAGGTACATACACAAGGGGGTGCCAAACACAAAGCTCATAACTTAGCTGAGGAACCGAGACCCATATGAGTGTTTCTGTCTCTTGGCTTTGTATGAAACATTGCCACTCACATTATCTATTGTTGTGGCATTATCCTGCATACTCGGAACAGCAAGTACAGCTTGTACAAGTGTCTTCTTCTACAGAATCTGGTTCAAACCCATGACTAAAAGCCAAAGCTCTGCAGCACTCCGACGTGCTAATTAATGAACAAAGGCTATTTGTTCACACTGGTATTTATAGGTCTGTCATCAGCTCCCAGCACTACCGACCTAAAGAGTTAGCCTGACTGTCTGAATGTATTTTTAGTTTGCAGTCATGAGTTGTTAGCATTGCTGGCATATCTGTCAGCTTTGACCTCTGGACACTGGATGAGTACCTTCATTTTGTAAAGGTGATATCACTGGTTACTTTCAGATCTGTGAACGGGACTGCAGTCATTAAGTCTTCCTTTCATCACATGGAATCCGAGGGCTTTGTAAAAGACCTTTCACTGAAGACCTCCCTGATGTTTAGGAGAGTAACTTACCAGCAATCAAATTTGTTATATAGCCGATAACTGATGTTGCCCATGAATGATACTGCATTCCCCTGTCAAACGAAGACAGCTGTGCTCTATATTAAAAGTACATATAGAACCGAAGATGGCAGCCTGCTATACATTAAGGAACTGGTCGCCACAAAATCCGCCTAGCAAAAGATCATTACACAAATTTAATATGCATGTTTTGGCCTGTGGAGGAGAGAGGGGGAGCACCTAAAAAAGTGAGAGGGGCACTGCCATGATGACATTAATAAACTGTAAGTGCACACACCTTAAGCAGTGGTGGGGACATGACACTCTGCACTCAAAGTATTTGCTCAGACTTCTAGGGTGAATGATGCTGGGCATCTTAACCCAGAAGACTGAGGACTTCTTATGGAGAAGAGGGGGCATTGCAGAAGACAGCCCTAACAAATAATCTACAAACGAAGGTCAGGAGTAGCCCATAGACCAGCATTTCTAGGTAATGCCATACATATTTGTAAGGCAAACCAACTTGGTTTTCAAGCAATTCATATTTTCCCTGGACCTGTTAAGGCAGACAGAAGATGACAACATACAAATGCTAATAGGTTTTTTTCTAAAAATGTGCCCAGTTTACAGAACAGCATGCACTGAATAGAGCAGGTTTTGGGTTACACATTTAACAATTCTGGGTCAACCATGCTATATATTTTAACCAGGTGAGGACACTCAGTAGTTCCCTGAGACGGCCATGTTGCTGCTAAAATATGCTGGGTTCCACTCTGTGCTCCAGGAGCTGAGACAGCAGCTCTGATGCTCATGATGCCACTAACAGCGTTTGCAAGCATTATTGATAAATATGCTAAAACAATTTTATTGTTACAGCACATTTACTTTAATTTACACTGCTTCTTTGCTGTGCAGATTAAACCACCCTTTCATATAAAGCAACCCAATCAGCCCTAATTAACTTTCATCCTCTTCCCTTCAGTATTTTTTTAGCAGATTTTTTTTACCATTCATATTATTTTTTTAAAAGTTTTCTTCTCTTAGCTGATTTTTGTAGTGTTGTATTAAAAATAAAAACCGCTTTTATTTCATGTGTAAACAGCGATCCTCTGTACAAGAAACATAATTTTAGTGTCATCAGAAATTGGACAAAATTATAGAACACAATTTGCCCTTCTTATCTAAAGTAGTACTAGCTGTTTCAGGAAAGCCTTGTTTGTCCTGAAAAAAGAATGCATGTATAACCTTTGTATCATAAGTAATGGAAATGTTATTGCTGAATCAGTATGCCCATAGCTGGTCCATTTAAGGTGCAGGAGCAGATGTGGTCAATAAGGTTGTGTGTGCAGCCAGCAAAGCATTAAAAAAAAACAACAAAAAACTGTTGAAAGGCTCTAAAGTTTGCCAACTGCTCTGATACACAACACAAACACTAAACCCACTGACAAGTAAAAGATCCAGACATGCGAAACATGGTCCTAATATCCAGTGAGCATGTCAAATTTCTGAATAACATACAAACCCCAAAATAAAAACCATGACATACAGAAATATTTCAGTTCTGGGTTATTTTGGCATTACCTGTTTTTCTTGTTCACAGTTGTTTCGGCACCATTTGGAATGAGCTCTCTGACCTCCGTTGTCCCAAAATTATCGACTGTGATCTGTTTAACAGAAGAACAATGTTCTAAAATGTGCAGACTATTAAAACTGCTTTATTAGTGAGATAAAAATACAAAGATGTTGTTCCAAAGACTGAGAATAAACTTGTTGCCCATATACAGGCATATGAAGTAAATCTGACCACTCAAGAGGATAGTCATGACCTACCAACCATATCAGTTGCAGGACACTGGATACAATCATACAGTACACAGACAAAAAAAGATTTGATTTATATATAAATGTATGTATGTATAGATATATATAGATATATATACACATGCATACATACCCTTCAAAAAAAAAGTGGAAAAGCTACATAAAACAGAATGCAATGATTTGCAAATCTCATAAATCCATATTTTATTCACAATAGAAAAAACAGAAAACATATAAAATGTTTAAACTGAAAAAATGTACCATTTAAAAAAAAAAAAAAGATAATTTTAAAATTGATGGCAGCAACACATCTGAAAAAAGTTGGGACAGGGCAACAAAAAGCTGGCAAAGTAAGTGGTACTAACAAAGAAGAGCTGGAAGAACATTTTGCAACCAATTAGGTTAATTGGTAACAGGTCAGTAACAGGATTGGGTATAAAAAGAGCATCTTAGAGAGTCAGAGGGGTTGATTTACTAACCTTATAAACACACCACGAACATGTATACAACTCTGAAGTGTGTTCCCTCCCAGCATGATCTATGGGTGGAATCTAAACACCTTTGTAGTGTGTACACACCCAGCAGGTGTGTTGTGCAAAGCCCTGCATGAATTGCAAGGTGATGTTGTGTAAATTAGCTCTATGTTGTGTTGCTTGCGTTGATGAATGCAGGAATGTAAATGCATGAGCTAACCATTTTTGTCTAAACTGTGAAGCAGCATTATATATGCATCATGTGCATGATTTTTCCATATATGGCATTAGTGGAAATATGCTTTTAGAGACTTTTTGGTTGATAAATACGTTTTGCTGTGTAAAAATCACACGCACCTAGTGCGTGCGTGTGTTTAGGTTAGTAAATCACCCCCAGAGTGTCTCAGAAATAAAGATGGGCAGAGGTTCAATCTATGAAAAGCTCAGTCTAAACATTGTTAAACAATTTCAGAATAATGTTCCTCAATGTAAAATTGTGAAGACTTAAATATATCATCATCTACAGTACATATCATCATCCAAGAATCTGGAGAAATCTCTGTGCGCAAGGGACATTGGATGCCAGTGATCTTTAGGCCCTCAGACAGCACTGCAATAAAAAACGGCATTATTCTGTGATGGACATCACTGCATGGGCTCAGGAATACTTTCAAAAATCACTGTCTCGCCGTGCCATTCAAAAACGCAAGTTAAAGCTCTATAATGCAAAGAAAAAGCCATATCTGAACATGATCCAGAAACGCAGCCGTCTTTCCTGGGCCAAAGCTCATTTAAAATGGTTTATGGCAAAGTGGAAAACTGTTCTGTGGTCAGATGAATCGAAATTTGACATTCTTTATGGCAACCATGAAAGAATGGCCACAACCTAAAGAGAGGGACCTCCTGGCTTGTTATCAGCGCTCAGTTCAAAGGCCTGCATCTCTGATGGAATGGAGGTGCATTAGTGCATATGGAATGGGCAGCTTGCACATCTGGAAAGGCACCATCAATGCTGAAAGATGTATCCAAGTTTTAGAACCGCATATGCTCCCATCCGGAAGTCGTCTTTTTTCATGGAAGGCCTTGCATATTTCAGCAGGACAATGCTAAACCGCATACTGCATCTATAACAACAGCATGGCTTCATAGTAGAAGAGTCCGGGTGCTTAACTGACCTGCCTGCAATCCAGACCTTTAACCAATTGAAAATATTCGGTGCATATGCAAATGAAAAATACGACAAAGAAGACCCAGGACTGTTGAGCAGTTAGAATCTTATATCAGGCAGGAATGGGACAACATTCCTCTCCCAAAACTCCAGGACCTGGTCTCCTCAATTCCCAGATGGGTACAGAGTGTAGTTAAAAGGAGAGCGGATGCTACATCGTGGTAAACATGGCCCCGTTTTTTTTGTACATTTAGCCCAGCTCCTGACAAGCAGAGCTAAATGTACAGTGGGACCCGCTGCTCGTTTAATACAAGTGGTCTAATCAAATCACTTGTATCGAGAGGCGGCGATCGTGTGCGGGCCCCCCCCGCTGTGGTTTTTTGGGTCCCCCGCTCCTCTGGGGGACCCGTGACCACGGCATAGGAGCTCTCCATAGAGCTTGCAGAGCAGACGAAGAACATCCGTTCTTCGTCAGCTCTGTGTGTTTACTGAGACCGTGGCGCTGTAATCACTGTACCACCTGTCTCAGCTATCACTAACTGCAGCTATTACAGACTCCTGCCTGCGTCCTATGGTCCGGTGCGCCTTATGGAGTGCGAAATACGGTAGCTTAAAATCACATCTTCTATTACTACTGCATAAGATCCAAGTAAATAATGGCAGAGTAGTAAAGCTAGTAAAACCCACACGTGATTGGCAGAGACTGAAAACCAGCTTTCTTTGCAGTATGGCCTCCTTAAAACCTGTAGGATTTCATTAAAGCTTTGTGATATGTGTACTGTAACTGTGTGAGACTGTAGAAGGGACCTTTCACTGTAAATCTAGCAAGGGCAGCAACTAAACTGAACAGACAACTTTTCTCTGTGAAGCACCAGCAGCAACAAAATATGAAACTGTACGTTTCCATTTGCACATTTTTTTCAGGGTACTAGGTGGAATTACGGCAGTGCTTTAACTTTAAAAAAGGAGAACTAGGAGGTGAGTGATTTTCACTCAACCTCATAGTTCGAGCCAATGTGTGACAATGAAACTGTCACACGTCGGCTCAATAGATCGGGAAGTGAGTGAACGCATACCATCGCTCGCTCACTTCTCGATCATGTCCCTGCAGAGAGCGGTGAGTGTCACTCACCACTCCCTGCAGGGATTCTCCCCTCCCCGCTCCTCCAGCGTTGACTGGTGGAACAGACAGGGGGCGGGTACAGCTGGCTCTGCCTCTAGATAGGCAGAGCCAGCTGTCAATCATGCAGCTGGGTGGATCTCGACAGTAATGTCAGGATCTGTCCCGGCTGCGGCAGCGGTCTCAGTATACTGAGCTTTGGGTTACGGGAGGACACTAGTTTATGTCCTCCCGTGGCCCTTAGGAGAACTATGGGGAAAACACTTACCCCATAGTTCTCCTTTAATTTTAAAGCAGAGTGGTGTGGTTAATAGCAAAAATCTAAGTTCTGCAGTTGCACAATGATCAGCTACCAAGAGCTTCAGGCCCCATTCACACCTAGGCGTATTATCGCAGCTGATTCCATGCGACAAAATACTCAACCCCAAGAATCCCATTCTTTTTTATGGCCTGTGTTCACACCTCTGCGTTTTGTCGCAAGCAAAAAAACATCTGTCGTGCAAACTAGTACATGAGCTACTTTGTAGCAGATTTCAGCACGTTTTGTCCCTGTAGGCTCAATAGAAAACGCCTGAAAAATGCATGTTTTGATTATTTTTGTGTGTTTTACCCATTAATATGAATGTGCCAAAATCTGTTGAACAAACACGTGACTTAACATGTTCAAACAAGTTGCGCGCAAAACGTGCTTAATAGGTGTCGCTTAGGTGTAAATGCAGCCTAAGCTGTTTCTAGCACAAATACTACAGCTTTTTAAAATTGTAGGTTGTGCGACAGTTGTAGCGTAGTGAGATGTGTAAAAATATCAGACAGACGACAAAGCAGAAACAAAAAAGAGTTACACTCGCCACCCAAGGTCGACTTTTGGACAATTCCTGGTGAATAGGCTAAAATCCGAGCGGTGGGTGGCCTTGTGGGAACCACCTTGGTCCACAAGCCGATTTTTCAATCTGTCCATTGAAGACACAGGGTGTCAGCTGAACAGTGCCTGCATCCATTTAGATGCAGGCACTTTTTGGGTATGCAGCAGCCACAGTTGCTAAATATAATAGCCAGCAGACAGGATCCCTCTTATTTAGGCTGCTTAGCATGGATGGTAGAATCTAATGATCTTCCTCAGGGCTGAATGGGAGAAATCTGACACTGTATGACCAACTTTAGGGCCCATTCACAACACATCCAGATCATCTCCAGACCAGATTGTTTCCGGACCCAAAATGCATCCTAACGTATCCCTATACTATTTCTGGCCTCTGTTCACAACAGCCCAGTCCGTTCCAGACCAGACCAGAACAATACTACAGGTCTCATTTTGCCTGGTCTGGAATGCACTGGAACTGCGGGCATTTGGTCCAGAAAATGGCGTAAACCTGCCCTTAGGGTAAAGGGCAACAATATCCTTCAGAATAAGGCAGCCCACAGGTTCTCCTTGACTTGGTAACAGCTAAATATGTTGTAAATGGACACATACTGTAAAGTTAAGACAAAATGTCTCTTCGATGTCATCTTCTGTATAGTTCAACAGCAGCTGCATGCTCCTGAAACACACAAAAATGAGGAAAAATGTCTACAGGGATTCACCAACAAGAAACTATACAGCAGCTAATACTAATACAAACAAGATTAAACACTAAAATTGCCTTCACAATATATTTTAGTGGACGGCATCCGAGTTCCTATGTGACCCACCACACCATAATCAACTGGTTGTTCTTCACTGCTGCACGCCAAGCGCCATTTCAAAAGCCACACTGCAACATTGCTCTTTATTTCATGTATTGGTTCTATATAGTGTGTGTGTTTTATTTGTACACCTCAAATCACAGCTGGTCACAGGGAGGGTTGTTGGACTACTTTTGGCTAAGGCTGCAACTAATGTTTATTTTCATAATCGATTAGTTGGCTGATTATTTTTTCGATTAATCGGATACAAAAATTAAATAAATACCATTATTACATTTAAAATAAATACACAAATGCAGTGTTACAAAGTTTACTTCAGAATAAAACTGCATTCACAATTTTTTGCAATTGCACTACACTGAAACGCATGGCATTGCAGTAAAGTGCGTTCCAGTGCAGGCGATCACACTGTGGGTGGGCGGGGAGGTGCATTTGGGGTGCCGTTGAAATGAATGGCAGCAAAATTTGTCAGGCCAAAGCTGAAAATGACTTTTTTCCCCACCTTTTATAATTTGAAAAAAAATTGTATTGTAAGCACGTGGCGCTTGAATAGCTTCAGCCAGGGGGGCATAAAGGAATAATATAATGCAGAGGCAGCCAACTTTGGCACACTAGCTGTTTTGAAATGACAAATCCCATCATGCCACTGGGAGTCATGCCTGTGATTGCAAGTCTTGCAATGCCTAATGGGATTTGTAGTTTCACCACAGTAGGAGTACCAAGGTTGCCTACACTTGATAAAAAGTCTTCAATAAGTGCTGCCTTTTATTATCCAAATGTAGTAGAAGGAAAGAGAGAAGATTAACCCCTTCATGACTGAGGCCCTTTTTTCAATTTTTGCACCCATGTTATATTCCACATTTTAGGCCTGAAAATGACGTAAAACCCCCCAACATTATATATTTTCTGAATGCCAAGACCCTATAGAATAAAATGGTGGTAGTTGAAAATTTTTATGTTGCGCAATATTAGCGCAACTCCTTATTAAACCCCAAAATTTAGTGACAAATTTAATTAAATGCCCCAAAACACAACAAATTACCCATTTTTTTAATGAAATATAAAAGATGAGGTTACAACGAGTAAAACGATACCCAACATGCCCAGTTTACAGATTGCGTGCGACCGTGAAACGGCGAAAAACTGCAGTACCCCAAAAAGTCAATAAAAGACACTTTAAAAGCCCCCACAGGTCATCAATTTAGAGATACCCCAAAATACTGGCCCTAGGATTATTGCTCTCACTCCGGCGTGCGCGGCGATACCCAACATGTGTAGCGCGTTCGTCGTTTTCATGCGTAGGCGCACCCGACGCGTGTTTACGTGGCGACGCGCGTGCTCGCGGGGGCGGGGTACTTTTAAAATTTTTTTTATTATTATTAGATTTATTTTATTTCATTTTAATTTTAAAAACTGTTTTTTTTTTTTTTTTTACTTTACTTTGACTGCTATCACATGGGGGGGCTTGCAAGCCCCCCCATGTAATAGCAGATGGTGGTGACAGGTCCTCTTTAAGGTGATGCTGGGGGTCCAAAAGACCCTCAGTGTCACCTTTACACTGGAAATAAGCTATTGAAGTGCAGATCGCACTTCAATAGCTTATAGCTGGGCTGCAGGAGCCCAGAACTGACAGCCCAGGGACCGGAAGTGATGCAATCTGCATCGCTCCCGGTCCCATAGAACGGGGAGGGGATCGATGAACGGAAGTTCGTCGACCTCCTCCCCAGCTCCCCGCGGACACAAAGATCGCCGGTCCCGGGCCCGTAGGAGGGGCAACGGAGCCCGGGAAGCACGGCGGGGGTGTCCGGCGGGGGGGGCGGCCCCTTCTTCGGGACGCAGAAGCGATCTGGCGACAGGTAAGTCGCCAGAATCGCTTCTGTTGTAAAGCCGACAGTCGGCTCTACAAGTTTAAACAGACTCCCGGCGGCGAAAGTCGCCGGGAGTCTGTTTAAACAGCCCCGATGCTGGCGACGTACACTGTACGTCGTCAGTCACGAAGGGGTTAAAATAAGGAATGCCTTTTGGGATTGGAATACGGATATGTATAAGCAGTGTGGTACCTTTCTGGTGGTCAGACCACTATTCGTTTCTATTGTTCCTGCTCATTTATGGCTTTCCCAGGAAACGCAACATTATTCCACTGAGGTTATTATTAGATCTGTATACTGGATTATGGGGCAGAGCTTGAGCCCAACAGAAACGAAAAGCAATAAAACCAGAAATGTTCTCACTTACCTCCCAACATCTGGCCTTAGCTCTTTAAGATCTTCCAGTGCGGGTTTCTTTTTGAGCAGTTTCTTATACAAGGCCAGTGGAAAATGAAGATCAACAATTGTAAAGTTGTAAATAGCCAAACCACAAACAACACCAATGAGGTGGAACAAATCGCTGTCTTCAAATGTCTACAAAAAAAACAAAAAAAATATCGATGATATAATAAATTATTTTCTAAAGTTACACAAACCTATGTTTAATGTGCCTGCTAAAACAAAAGACAAAATAAAAGACAAAGACAAAATATACAATAGTGGGTTTTTTTCTACAAAACATATGCATTAAAAATATGTATCATTCTATATGAACCACTTGAGTCTCAGGTGCCATTTTAAAATTGCACATAGCAGCTATTCATCCCAGTGCCAAACGTATGGGTTCTCTCAGCTACAACATATACCGTATATACTCGAGTATAAGCCGAGATTTTCAGCCCATTTTTTGGGGTGAAAAGTGCCCCCCTCGGCTTATACTCGAGTCAGCGCCAGCGCGTCTTCTTACTTACCTCGCCGAGCGTCGCGTCACTGCTGCTCCGGTGTGCGGCACTCCGAGCGGGGTCATCTGGCAGTCTCCGGGTCCTAATTTAGGTGGCCGGAGACTGCCAGATGACCCCGCTCGGAGCGACACAACATGCAGTTTTTAAAGGAAGGTTGTAATTATTAAGGGGAAACAAAATCCAAAACCACATGGCCCTGTGTGAAAAAGTGTTAAAACATAACTTAACTCTGGTTTATCACACCTGAGTTCTATTCCTCTAGCCACACCTGTTCGCAATCAGAAAAACACTTAAATAAGACTTGACTGACAAAGTGAAGTAGACCAAAAGATCCTCAAAAGCTACACATCATGCCGAGATCCAAAAAAATCCAGGAACAAATGAGAAAGAAAGTAATTGAGATCTATCAGTCTGGAAAAGGTTATAAAGCCATTTCTAAAGCTTTACATATATAATGTTTTCAGGTACGCTACAAATTCTATAAGGTGTAACAAAAAACACAAACGCTCTGAGACTCCGTGGGATTAAGGGAGAAAAAGTATAGTTGCCAGCACCCAAATTGTACCAACAGGTTCCTACATCACAATACAGACATCAAATCCCAGGCGGCTGTAATTGTTTACACACTTCCTGGTAGTGTTATGTGCTGGAAGATACAACCTCCCACCCAGTCTTAATTGCCAATAGGAACATGTGGGACCACAATTAGAAAATGTTAAAATTTGCAGGTGATAGCAGCCAAGAATTCAAGATACACAGAATAGAAGAAAGATTCTAAAAGTATGTGCATGCATTTGGTGTCTACACTATAATACTTGAGCCTGTCAGTGCGATTTAAGTACTGACAGTTTTACTTTAAGAAAAAAAAAAACTAACACAATTTGCAGATTAAAGTACTGACAAGTGTACAAAGAAAAAAAAAAAAAAGACATTTATGCAACATTGCCACATGGCATATGGTCAGTGGTGGCCACACACACATCATCCACATCATCATCATCATCATCATAGAACACTCGAGCAGGGATCTTTTACATATAGAGCTACCTGCTCTGATCTTTAAAAGAAAATTCTAGACCTTTCTGTACCTGGTCAGAAAACCAGATGAGCCTCGACTCGTCATAGTAATGAAACATTCCATACTTTGGATCTAGTAGTTCCCTCATAATAAGCAGGAAAAACTCCTTGCGGACTCCACCAGCATCAACAGCCTCTTCACCCACAAAGATGACCTAAAGGAAGCAGCAAGAGGGTCAGAAAAGACAGTAATATGCACACACATCATTCAGCCATAACATTATGACCACCTACCTCATATTGAGTAGGTCCCCCTTTTGCCACCAAAACAGCCCTGACCTATCGAGGCATAGACTCCACTAGACCTCTGAAGGTATGCTGTGGTATCTGGCACCAAGCCGTCAGTATCAGAACGTTTAAGTCCTGCAAGTTACGAGGTAGGGCATCCATGGATCAGACTTGTTTTTCCAGCACATTGTAGGCACTTTTGGTGATGGACACGGTTTGGTGTGGAGCCCCATACGCAACAAATTGCGATGCACTGTCTGTTCAGTAGTCCATGAACCCATCGCACTCCTGACCGCTTAGTGCAAAAACAACTGGTGGTTGCTGCAGTGACTAATGGATGTGACAAATCACAAAGTAAAGATGTGGCACCAGACCACCATGCGTGACCTGCGTGACGCTGAAACGTTGTATTTATGTGATATGCTACACTTACGTCAATAAAAGACGCACTATTCACTATTTTGAATGCCGATGCCCCATCTTTGCACTGTGTGTTCAGGCACCTATCGGAACCAGCATGAACTGTTCAGCAATTTCAGCTACAGTAGCTATTGGATCAGACTACACGGGCCAGCCTTTGCTTCCCACGCCTTGGCTGTCCATGACCCTGTGGGCGGTTCACCAGTTTCTCTTCCTTGGACCTTCCTTTTGGTAGGTCCTAACCACTGTGAACTGGGGACATCCCACAAGAGCTGCAGTTTTGGATTGGTTTTGACCCAGTCACCTAGGCATCACAATTTGGCCCCTTTTAAAGTTGCTCAGATCTTTATGCCTGTCTATTTTTTCTGCTTCCAACAGAACTTGCTGCCTAATATATCTCACCCAAATCCAGGTGTCACTGTAATGAGATAATAAGTGTTATTCACTTCACTTCTCAGTGGTCATAATGTTATGGCTGATTTTATGTATGTATGGGAGAGAGAGGGAGGGGGATTGATTTTTCAACTTTACCTTTAATGGCTTCTTGTAGTCAATGTTCTTGGTTTTTCTTAACACCTCCATAGCATCTCCCACTATATTGTCTCTGCGTACTATTAAAATAAGACACGGGTCCACTGACTCAACAACCACTGGAAGAAACATGGAGGAAAAATTCTGTCTGTGGGCATGCTCAACGGCCATCTAATAAGACATGAATGGAGAGGGTTAGACTACTGACTTCTGCACTATAACCAGCACCTCAATTTGCATTATCTATGGATGGTAAGAACATTTGTACATGTCTCCAAAGATACTCCAGTTCTAAAAGTGATTTAATGTGCTAGTCCTTGATTCTTTTCCCCATCATCAACTTGCAGGTAACATATTTTCTCTGAGAAAGTATAAGCGGACTTCACCCTCTAGCCTAACATGGGGGAAACCCCTCTTTTTTGGATATGTGATGAAAGATAAATATTTAGGAAGGCTCTACTGTGCTTCACAATGAACGAGTGGATGGGTTCTTAGTTCCTTTTATTCCACATCACCATAACCTTTATGGTTGACCTGTCTTGTTAGTCCCCCAAGCCCTACGTTATAGAAGCTATTGTTTCCATACCATGTACTGTTGATGACCAAAAAAACTATAACTGGTGTATGCAGTGTAAGTGGCACTATAATATTAGTCTGTATCTGTGCCAAATGCCAATTTTTCTGGATGCACAGCTTACTTGGAGGCAAAAAGGAATTATTTGCATGGCCTACTATCCTAAAATAAAGAAAAAAACTATTTTGAACTTATTATGGGCGTGAGACATGACCATACTTTTGGCTTTAAGAAGGCCCATCTGACATTTGCATATATTTTCTCTGTAATTTATGTTATTATTTAATTTATTACAGGTATAAAAGCACCAAGAATTTACATAGCTATTTACATACTGCACATTTACAACAGCAATTGTTTAAATCCTATTGTATAGCACACAGACACACATTTACTAAGCTGGGAATAAACAATTTCTACTATATTTTAGATTGGAAAAGTCTATGTGGATGCCACACTGCCTTGTCAAGACATCTCCGTATAGTGTGGTCCCTAACTCAATGAGGCTTCCAACCTGGGACATGCATAGCAATAAATAGATTAAAGTCAGAGGTGATTTGACAGGGCAGTGGTGCTTCCAAATAGATTTGCTGCCAATATACCCTACTTACACCTCTGCATTTTATACATAGTGTTTAGTCAGTGCAGGCTGGTTAAATCTTAAAAATGCATAACTATTAATAAAAATGTAGCCTATTTGTGTATCACTCAGCTTTAGATCCTCAAATAATCTCTGAAGTGGTGCTGACACTGTCCTTCCTGTTAGAGGGTGGCTACTTTTATTCCCCATGGTCCCTGTGTGTGTTGTAAAGTAGCCACCACTCCAAGTTTACTTCCATGATGTACTACAAACTCATGTGTAGTCTACTAATTTGTATTGAGATAGTAGTCCATCATGGGAGTAAATTTGGAGAGGTGGCTAATTTACAACACACCCAGGGACCGCAGGCAACAAAAGTAGCCACACTCCATTGTCTCAAAGTCTAGCATGAAATAAGCTCATTGGCTTTACAGGCACCACATGTTTTCTTTCAGACATTTCTCTTTTCAGCTGTAATTTCCTACCTGCATTTGTATGGCTGCATCAGTCTGTAGCAATGTCGTCTTGGCTTGTGCATCGAACACAAAAGGATAAGTGCAAATAGTGAGAGAACCATCTGGCCCCTGTAAAACAAAAGTACAAGAGTACTGTGTACAGTAGCCATAGAACTGTCCCTCCAAATATATACTGTATAAATGGAAAAAAAATAGACCATACAGAAAAAAAATAATAGTTTAATACTACAGCTGCTCAGCATGGATTAATCAGTCTCAATGTGCTTAATCGGGATGTATCCTTTCTGGACAATACACACACACAAGCTGCCATTTTG